CATGGTGAGTTTGAAGTGCTCATGGACCCTGCAGGGAGATGACCAGCAGGCACTTCCCAGACCTACCATTCCAAAGATCAGGGGGAGAGAGGTCGGCATCTGCACACGTGCAATTTACTGGACTATAGGCACAGTCTGAGTGGTGATAACCACAGCCATGGATGCGCTCATGGGGTAGGTGTCTGTTACTTCAAACAAACATTTAACTTTTCTTTCCAAAATGCTTGCATCATTTATACTCCCAGCCTCACAGAGTCTACTTGCTTCACGTTCTCTCCAACATGTAGTCTTTTTAATTTTAGCTGTTCTAGTGGGTGTGAAATGTCCCTCGGTGTGGCTTTAATTTGCATTTCTCTGGTAACCCTTGAGATTGAGCACTTTAGGAAAGGCCCATATGAACATACCTCAAGGAGATTCCACTCTGAGGCTTCCCTGAGAGACTCTGAAGGGGGAGTTAGGGTGGGAGTATGGCTGGCCAAAGGCTCCTCCCAACTTCTAGGTCTCAGATTACATTCTCAAGGAGGATGGAGGCCTTTCAGGCAATTCATCTGTCATCTCATCAGAATTTTGGGGTTCCTCTGAGGGCCTGAGCTACAGATGTGAACTTGGAGCCTGACAAACCTGGGTTGAAACCCTCACAACACTGCTTGCTTGCAGGGATGGTGTACACTCAGTTTTTTCATCTGTAAAATGGGAAGAGCATCTTTTTGTAGGCTTGTCACGAGGATTAAAACATATAATGTTGACAAAGCAGCCACCTAGGTATCTGACACATAACAGCTCAGCAAATGTCTTCAGTTTTGTTAAGACCAGCTGGGGATCGCCTTTATTCCACAGATGAGGAAAGGGAGGCCTAGGTTAGTTAACTGTCCAAAGCAACCTGTTAATAAAGGCAGCTTTGGGATAAAACCCAAGTCTCCTCATTCCCCAGCCAGCTGCCCCCACACTTTTAATCATTCTCTGATACGCAGTATCAGGCATGAGGCCTGTCTTTTGTTTGAATCATTGTTTTAGGGCATAGAAGGCTCACACCAGGAAAAAATCTCCATCTGAAGCTCTTGAGGATTCTCACAGGCTCAGTCTGAGTCTCCTACAGTATTGTTCCTGTTTGCTTTTTCAAGACATCAGCACCCACCCACGTAGTAACTCCAGGGTGAATGTCGTCCCAGTTACACCTCTTGTCACTCTCCACCTCCATTCCCGGCTGCAAGGACCGTGTGGGGTGGGCACAGAGACTTGCTCTAGGTGGTTCACCCAGGAGCTCACCCAGCCCGCTCCAGACCTCCCTGCCAAGAAAGACCTGGCTGATGGTGTTGTGTGCACAAGGTTGCGGTTTGGGGGAAAAGTCATTTATTCCCACCCTCTGCCTCCGTGAGAGGGCCGCGGGCGTCAGGCTAGGAGCCGCTCCCTCTCCCCCTTCCCAGGAGAATGGGAAGGAATGACTCAGGTGAAAAGGATTTTTTTAAAAAAATACTGCAGAAGCAGTGCGTATTCGCAAGCATTCCACCAAAAGCTCAACGTAATAGTCACGGGGTAATGCTTCTGGAGGTCAGGAAGGGGGCCAGGGAATGGCAAGCGCCCCCACACCCCGGACATTTAGAAGGTCAAACGCCACCACTCCCCCCACTCTCCCACCCTTCATCCCAACAGCTCTTTGCTCGGCCTCCCCTGCTGCCCTCAGCGCTCCCCGTCCGTGTCTTGGTCACTAAAGAGCCCCGGAAAGTGAGGCCGAGGCCCCGCGCCACCAGTTGGACGCGGGGCGTGCAAGGGGCCCGGGGTACGGGGCTGCGCCAGCAGCAGACCCGCGTTAAGGACCCGGAAGCGGACGTCTCACATGCTCTCCGGGAACACGCCAGACTCCGGCCAAGGGGGCGGGGCGTCTCCGGCTCTGCGTGCTTGCGTCATCGCGTAGGCTGGCGGGGCCGCGGGGTGGAGGAGTGACGTATAGGCTGCGCAGAACGGCTGTGGGCGGGCCTAGGGAGCGAGGACGCTGCTAGCCCCGTCTCTTAAAGCTGCCACGACCTTTCGAGTCCGACAGCGGGGGCCACGAGTTGCGGCGCCTTTAAGCGTCGCCGTGACACGTGTGTGAGTCGCCCGAGGCCCGGATGGTGCGTGTGCAGGGCCCGGGCCGAGTAGACGACAGCGCCGCGGCCCTGCAGCCGGGCCCGCCGAGGGCCGGGTAGGCTGGGGCCGGGTCTCGGCGGCGCGCAGGCCGAGGGAAGGCTGCGCGTCCGGCCGGGTTGGAGGGCTTCCGCTGGGCCTGGGGCGCGGGAAGGTGCGGTCTGCAGGGGGGCGCACCGGGGGGGGGGGGGGGGACGGGGGGGCCGGGGGGGGGGGAGGGGGGGGGGGGGGGACGTGGGCGCGCGGCCGCGAGGGGCTCAGGGGCCGGTGGGGAGGGCCCAGGGCTACTTCGTTAGCGAGGAGTTCGGGGCTGCGCTGTCCGTCAGGGGCTCGGGGGTTCACGGGGAGGGCCAGGGGCGCACGGTCCGCGAGGGGCTTGGGGGTCCACGGGGAGGGCCAGGGGCGCACGGTCCGCGAGGGGCTCGGGAGCCCACGGGGAGGCCCAGGGGCGCACGGTCCGCGAGGGCCTCGGGGATCCACGGGAAGGGTCAGGGAGTCGCGGTGCGTGAGGACTCCGGGGTCCGTGGGGAGGTCAGGGGCGCACGGTCCGCGAAGGGCTCGGGGTCCACGGGGAGGGCCAGGGGCGCACGGTCCGCGAGGGGCTCGGGAGTCCACGGAGAGGCCCAGGGGCGCACGGTCCGCGAGGGGCTCGGGGATCCACGGGGAGGGTCCGGGACGCGCGGTCCGCGAGGACTCCGGGGTCCGCGAAGGGCTCGGGGGTCCACGGGGAAGTCAGGGGCGCGCGGTCCTCGGGGGCTCCAGGATCCGCAGGGAAGGTCTGAGGCTGCGCAGTCCGCGAGGGGCATAGGGGGTCCGCAGAGAGGGTCCGGGAGGTATGCCCTTTGCTGTTCCCGGGGAACACGGACTGGTGGTGGATGAGAGAGCTGCCCCAGCCAGGAGCCCCAGGGAGTCGGGGGAGGCAACGGTCTGTGTCGGTCTTGGGCACAGTTGTTACCCAGAGAAGCATCACTAATGCAGGACCCAGACTTTCTCTGGAATAGCTTAAGTCAAAATCTGTTCTGTTTGGCAGCAGTGCTGAAATTTCTTTCTTTCCTCCCCCCCCCCCTTTTTTAGTAATAAATGTGGGAAAGACAACCCTGGAGAAGGTAACCTTTTTCAGGGTCATGGTCACGGTGAATGTGAGCGGGTGGGGACAAGATGTGGGGTTTGAAAATACCCTTATTTTAGTCGGTAGTGTTGAGTCTCCCCTGGGGTACCAGGAGCTGGAGGGAGTAGCATTCTAAAACCCAGAGAGGTGAGAGAGGAAAGCATCGTGGCCAGCCTGCTTTCTGTAAGAGATGCCTAGAATCAGGCCTCCAAGGAGAGGGAGGCTCTGCTTAGTCTTTTCCGGCTGGAGCCTGGTGTTCTGCAGGCTCTGCTGAAGAGCCTGGAGGCCCCCTGTGAAAGTGCCCCAGGGAGGCCCGGGCTCTGTCCATCTGGGGCTCCTCCCCCACCAGCACGTGGTTGACCCTGTGAGTCTTGAGTGCATTTCATCCTGGAAAAGTGCATTTAGAGGGAGGAGGGAGAGAGAATATGCTTGAAGGGTGTTCTACGGATGCTGTTTGCCTACTCTCGGAGGTAGAAATATGCCTGGAGAAGCCTGAGCTGTTCCTGGACCATGGAGTGGAGGGAGCATCCTTCCCGAGTTCTGAAGAGCATGTTGTCAATTATGTATATCAGAGGGCTTGCTGATGATTACAAGGACATCTTTCTCTGGGTTCCTACACCTCAGAGAGAGATGATTTTTTGGTCATTGTTGAATATGTTTTGGGTGGAATTGGCGACATAGAGGTTGATCTTTGTCAGAACTTGAAAAATTGTTCAAAGTCTCTGACTTCCACATTGAGGAGTGGGCTGTGGGATAGGTGTTCTTTAAATTACTTCTCTCAAAATAAATTTGGTTATTATCTCCCAAGTTCTGTTTATCCTCTTGCTGTTTGGTTCCCGAACATTTGCCCTTGGACCCATGTCCATCTATGTCCTCACCTGTCCACAGTAAGGTATGAGTTTCGATTAAGACAGGGATATTGGAATCTTCACCTTACAGATTGGATTTTATTCTGAGATCATATTCATTATGCTCACCCTTTATTTTGGCGTTGGTATGGTTTTATTTATGGATATGAGGAATGATGCATCTGAAATTTGCTGTCAATGTGGGGACAGGAGAGGAATGAGGAGTGGGCCTACATAGTAATTATTGATGCTGAATAAGGGGAATATGTGGTCTCTGTGTTGTTGCCACCACATTGTATATATTTGAACGTTTTCACGGCAAAAAAATTAAGTATTTTAATTTTATGTAATCAGTGATTGTGGATGGTAAAGAAAATCTGCACTTAGCAAAGTGAAAATGTGGCAATTCTTACTGCTTCTTCGATTTTCTTTTCTTTTTTCTTTTTTTGAAATTCTAGGGGCACCTGGGTGGCTAAGATGGTTATGCGTCTGCCTTCGGCTCAGGTCATGATCCCAGGGTCCTGGGATCGAGCCCCACATTGGGCTCCTGGCTCAGCGGGGAGCCTGCTTCCCCCTCTCCCCCTGCTCATGCTCTCTCTCTCTCTCTCTGTATCTCTGTGTCTCAAATGAATCAATAAAATCTTTAAAAAAATTTTTTTTATCTTAAAAAAAATTCTACTGGTTTATGAAATCTGGAAGTTGGAGGTGAGGGGGTTATTACCTCTCACTCTGGAAAGTGACTTAGACTGGAGAACACTGAAGATTTTTGTTCATTGGGCTTGTCGTGGGCCTGAAGGTTAAGATACCGAGCCAAGGGCAGTGTTTTCATATCATGCACATTGTAATACCTTGTAGCTAGTCCATTCAGTTCTTCTCCAGACTCCCTAAATCCAGCACCATCTGTACTCCTTCGACCTGAATGCCGACTCTTCCAGATAGATAGCCTTCCTGCTCTGGTTCCGCGCAGTGGGGCTGAGGAAATGGTGGAAGAGAGTGGCCTCACATGGCGCTCCGTTCACCCCACAGATTCTGAATGACAGACTTGCAGCTTTGGTGATTTCACGGGCATAGCCGAGGAGCTCATGAATCGGAGGGTCCTGCCCTGCATCTGCCCAGTCCGGCCAAGAACCTGACCCCATGCTGCAGTAGCAACACGCCCAAGTTCAGACATCCCAGGTGAGCCAGCAGAGGCTTCAGAGTAGTTTTCCATTTCTCCAAGCTATCGGCTTGTAGCCCAGCAGCAGTTCTTCAGTTGGTGGGAACACTTCGATAATTCCCCTTAGGAAAGGTTCTTTTATTTCTTCAAATCAAAGAACTTGTGCTTGCTTTTTAAAAAATAAGTTTCTTACATTTCAATTCGTGGCAAGAATTTTTTTTTTTTTAAGATTTTATTTTTAACTAATGTCTCCACCCAACATGGGGCTTGAATTTACAGCCCCAAGATCAAGAGGCACACACTTTACAGTTTAAGCCAGCCAGGCACCCCGCAGAAAAAAAAAAAATTTTTTTTTAAGATTGTATTTATTTTTTTTTGGCTGAGAAAGAGCGTGCGCACACAAGCAGTGGCAGAGGGAGAAGCAGGCTCCATCCCAGGGCCCTGGGATGGTGACCTGAGCCGAAGGCAGATGCGTAACCAACTGAGCCACCCAGGCACTCCCCTTGCAGAAATTTTTATAGATAAAGAAATTTGACCCATGTGGGGAATGAGATGCTCCATAAGGAAAAATTTGAACAGTTTAATAAGAGATCCTTTTACTGAGTTTTGGGATACACCTGCCTAATTGGTGCCCCTGTGGCAGGCTGGATGCCAGATACCTGAGGGAGTCCTCATTTTTCTGATAAGAGCAGTTTAAGGAACATATTTTTCTAATTGTGACTCAGATTGCCCTTGAGCTGGGGTGGCTTGAGTTGAGAGGTAGTGAGTTGCAGTCAGAGGTGATAGAGGGGATTCCTGTTCAGTCCTATTTCCAGCAGCTGCAGCTCTCACCTAGGTAACCTTAGAACCTCCTTTGGTGCTGCTTTCAGTCCCTGTTTTACACAGAATAGGGGAGCTGCGAAGTCACAGTGGTTGCCACTGGAATTTTTAGCTGATAGGTGAAGGAATAAGCCAGGCCTGCCGCACTCCAGCCCTGAACTGTCACTTCCCTCTTAAAGTTTGGGCGTCTTGGGTGTACCATTCTGGTCCCGCCACTGTCCTGTCTCTCCTCCCTCACTTTCAGAAAGATCATCTGTACAGGCACCGTCCAATAACATAGGCCATACATATAATTTTACAGTAGCCACATTAAAAAATAAAAAGCAAGTGAAACTAATTTTCACAACACATGTTACTTAACCCAATATATGTAAAATATTATCATTTCAACATGTAAGCAGTCTAAAAACTATTGAGGTGTTTTACATTCTTATACTAAGTCTTTGAAATCCTTTGCATGTTTTATACTTACAGTGCATCTCGGTGTGGACTCATATCATTTCAGTGATCACATGTGACCTCTGGCCTTCTTTTTGAAGAGCATGAGCCCGAGCAGAAAGGCGTGCTTATGTAACTCACCACGCTAATTCTTTTATTATATGGATTTGTGTGTGTGACATGAGCATCAGTGTTTCCCTGTTTTTGAGCAGACATTGGGACCACCTGGTCAGCTCTTGAAGGAGGTGGCATCAAGCTGATGCCCATAGTCCCATAGTCCCTCATCGAAGAGACACACGCTGCAGGCCTCCCTGGTACCACCTTTGTCTCTTCAGTGCTGTTTGTGAAAGCACCTTCTCTTTTTGACAGGTGTGGTGAACTCTGGCCAGGTGGTTGGTAATATGTCTCCATGTTTCACACTTCCTTTGTAGGGTTGGCAACCAATCCAGAGAAGCTTTTATGGTGGCTAGCATCCACAAAGACCAGAGGGGATTTTCACAGAAGTGACGCTCTGTTCCTGGGACCTAGTTACTCGTCGCTCTGTGTTCCTTCTTGTCCCCACAGTGATGCACCATGCCAATAGTCGATAAATTGAAGGAAGCCCTGAAACCTGGCCGCAAAGACTCGGCTGACGATGGAGAGCTGGGAAAGCTTCTGGCCGCCTCTGCCAAGAAGGTCCTTTTACAGAAGATCGAGTTCGAACCAGCCAGCAAGAGTTTCTCCTATCAGCTGGAGTCATTAAAGAGCAAATATGTCTTGCTGAACCCGAAAACAGAGGGAGCCAGTCGCCACAGGAGTGGAGACGAGCCACAGGCCAGGAGACAGGGTACAGGCACACGGTTGGCTGGCAGAAGGGGTCTCACTGTGTGTTGACCAAGTGGATGGATGAAGTGTTGACTGATTAGGAGGAACAAAAACAGAATGTGGTCAGAGAGTTATGAAGCTTCTCTGGGGTCAGTGGCTCTGTAGTTACAGAAGTAATGATACAGCGTTGGTCACAAAGAGATCTGTGTCCTTAGGCCATGGAAGTTGTGTGTGTTTAGTAGGATCAACGGTGGGGCTGAGAAAGAAGCAAGAGAAATGGGCCAGGGTCCAGCTATTCATTCTCTTAGGGTCGTTCTCCATGGAGGGCTCTGTGAATTCCAGACCTAAGCAGTCTGCAGGAGCCACAGGATGACTGGGTTTTCTCCTGGGCTTTCTAGTAACTTCAGTCAGCAGGGACACCAGTTACCCTCTGACACTGTGTCTTGGCAGGTGCATGCCGAGTGTGCCTCAGCGATTTCTGTTTCGTGGCCCACCTGTGCATAGACTTAAGCCCGCCTTTCTTCCCTGTCCCTTTCTCATGCAGGCAGTGAGCATGCCCACGAGAGCGGCGGTGATGGGGTCCCCGCCCCACAGAAAGTGCTCTTCCCCACCGAGCGGCTGTCTCTGAAGTGGGAGCGGGTTTACCGCGTGGGAGCGGGGCTCCACAACCTCGGCAACACCTGCTTCCTGAACTCGACCATACAGTGCTTGACCTACACCCCGCCTCTGGCCAACTACCTGCTCTCCAAGGAGCATACTCGCAACTGTGAGTGGGAGGTGGTAGCTGGGGCGGGGGTCGTGGGAACCGGATAGTCTCCTGATTAGACAAACCCATGTGCCCGTGGTGCTAGCAGCCTTCGGCCTGGGTCAGATGTAGGAGTGAAGTCCGTGATGTAGTAACTGATAAAACCTAAATCTGGCACATGCCCGCTGTAGGCCAGGCCACAGAAGCCAGTCACTCGTGTAGATTGTTGGTCCCAAACTGTTCTGAAAATGAGTACCTAAAGGGAGAAAGGTGTTTTCAAAAAATACGTTCATAACGTGTACATTCAATGACTACACATCAACTGTTGTACCAGTGTTTTATGTACGTTATAAAACGTGCCCCAGAGGAGAAATGAAAAATGGGTAAAGATGAAATAAAATGTCACTTACCAAAACTGAAGAAAGTAGAAAGCCTTTTAACTATTAGTAAAAGAAATTAAATTGGTGTTTAAAAATCTTCCCATGAAGAAAATACCAGGCTGAAATGATTTATGGGTGAGCTTTATGAAAATTTTGAGAAATAGATTGTTGCAGTGCTTCACAGGTTCTTCCCGAGAATAGAAAAAGAGGGAGAACCCCCAGCTCATTTTATGAGGTTCTTATAACTTGGGTAACAAAATTAAACAAGTACAGTAGGAGAAAGAACAATTACAGTCTCATCTTACGAGTGTAGTCACAAAACTTCTAGACAGAATACTACCACGTTCAAGAGTCTCTTAAACACCATGAGCAACTCGTGTTCACCCTAGTGATGCAGGTATGTTCTAGTATCAGGAACTCTTAAGTGTGACCGTGGAGAGCGCACAGCACGACAGATGGAACCGCTCCTTCGGAGGTTGGCCTGCTGGGCCCTGTCCTGGCTCTCCCCCTAAGTGCTGTGATCCCTGAGAATGTTACCTAACCTTTTGGAAACTTCTGTTCCTCATCTGCAAAGTAATAGTATCATCTCCCCAATAGAGCTGTTGGGAAGCTTGAGTGAATTACATAAGGTGCTCACAATAGTACTTGGCACACAGGGAGTGCTCCGTAAGAGACTGCTCATTTTGCTTCCTTAATTACTGTATCAACAGATTAAGAGAGAAAGGTCACCTGAAAATAATGCCCCCAAAAAGAAACGTATGATAAACTTTTAGCAAAGGAGCAATAGGAAGGAGTTTCCTTGTCTTGTTAAAGGGTATCTACCAAACACTACAAAAAAAGCATTCTAGATAGGAAAATATCGGAAGCATACCCTTCAGAATACAGGGTGAAACAAGGGTCTCTCTCACCACTTGTGTTGAAGATATGTCGGTCCTAGCCAGAGCAGTGACCAAGGAGACAAAAGGGGGGAGCGCGCTGTTGTTCCTTGAAAATGACATTCCTGCGTTGAAAAAGCAAGAGAATCTATAAATTAGAAATTTGGCAATGTGACTAGATACAACATCAACATACAAAAAGTTAGTTGAATTTCTCTACACCAGACGACAAGGAGTTTTTTAAAAATTTTGCTACTATAAAAAAATTTTATGAAAAGCGGGGTGCCATACTGACTATGAAGTCTTGTCAAGTTAGAGAAATTAAAGTGTCATAGTATGGGGTCAGGGAGGGGACCCACTGACCAGTGGAACGGAATAGAGCCCAGAAACAGACCTGCGTACATCTGGAGGTGTGTTACGTGTTGGTTCTTCATGTGTCTCCCGTTTGAAATTAATGGAACTTAAAAAGAACTCAGGCTTACATATGGAAAAAGCAAAATAGGGTCCCCATTTCACAGCATACCTGTGCACAAATGCGTTAAAAATTTAATGTGAAAAGCAAATATTAAGCTCTTATAACAAACATTGGCCAATCTTTTTCTGACCTTGGGATGGGAGGTTTCTTAAACAAGACTCAGAAAACACCAACTATAAAGGAAAAATGACAGATTCAGCTGCATTGAAGTTAACATTTGTTCCCCCCCCCCAAAAAAAACCACTTAAAAGGCAAACAGGGAGCTATGAGCTGGAGGCAAAACCCGGGACACATAACCAGTAAAGGATTGCTACCAAGAATGTGGAAAGAATACAGACTACCAAGGGAAAGACAAGCGTAAAAAAGTAAAATTATGAACCAGCATTTTACAGAAAAGGAAACTCCTGGTCAGAGTATAGGGAGAGATGTTCAGCCTTGCTGAAATCAAGGAAGTGTCGTCAAAACCACCACAACAGCAGCGATGCGACACACCTTTGTGATGGCTGCACATTCAGAAGCCTGGCAGGAGCGAGTGTCAGCATGAAGATGAGCGAGAACCTTTTATGCTCGCCTGAGCTGGCCTTATCTTCCAAATAACGTGCCAGCCAGCAGTACTCCGCCTGCGGAAGAGCTCTGTACGTGCTTCTCGGGACACCTGTGTAAACACATCTGCAAGCAGCAAATTGTAAGCCGCTCAGGTGCCCATCAGCAGACGGACGCGCGCATCACGGCGCAGGCCCATGAGGACAGCGTGCTGCAGGGCAGGGGAATGAAGGGCCGCTCCGTGCATGGAGCTGAATAAGCCAGTGAAGGAAAAGTCCCAGAAGATTGCACACAGCGTGAATTGCTATTTATAAAATGGAAAAACAAGACGCTATAGTGTTTAGGTATACACATATGGGGTAAGACTTAAAAAAAAAAAAATTTTTTTTTTTAATTGGTAAACAATGAAAATGAGTCAGGAAATCAGGATAGAGCCAGAGGCAGGACCAGATGGGAGCAAGTGAGGAGCAGTGTTAGGATAAAAGTGGATTGTGTGATGTGTTCAGGGAGATTTGTTCTATTTTTTTAAATCAGTGAAAGGTGACATGTGATGGAAATAGCATTTTTAAATGTCTCGCGACCGTGGTGGTTCGGTGGTGGCTGGAGTTAACACACTGAGGCACCGTGCCCACTGCAGGTGAAGTTGGTTACAAATTTCTGTTTCTGGTTGTGACCTTGGTGAGGTCGAGGGGTTCTGGGTGGACTTTTATTTAGTAAGACTCGACTGGGCTGTCTTTATGGTTTTTTTGTCTTTTTAAGCCTTTTTTTTTTTTTGAGAGAGAGAGAGAATCTCAAGCGGACTCAGATGCTGAGCGCAGAGCCCAAGGCAGGGCTCAATCCCGCGACCCTGAGATCATGACCTGAGCTGAAATCAAGAGTCAGACGCTCAACTGACTGAGCCCCCCAGCACCCCGGTGCTCTTGTTTTTTTCTCCTGACTTTGGTGAGGAGACCCTACTCTCCAGACCTAGGCAGCGCTCCCATTTTCTTGCTCACCCTGCTTCCCTGTGCAGCTACCCTCCGGTTTTGCTTCCTCGGCAGGCCCCTCCGTCAGCTTGATTAGGGTTGGTGTAGGTAAACTAGGTGACACCCGGAAACCCCGTAACCCGCCACACGTACTCTGCAGCCCGTGGGAGTGAGGGCGTGAGGTGGGAGCAGCCGGGATCGGCCCCTCCTGGTGGCGGGACATCTCGCCCTGGCTCAGGACGCCTCTCCTGTGGGCGCCCTGGTGTCCCTCTGCATCACTCTGAAATGCTAACCTTAGTGTCTTCCTTTTTTCCAGAGTAAAAGTATTAAGTCTTAGTATTTGTTGGCCTGTACCCCCTGGCTCTCTGAGTGACCCCAGGTGGGCTCGGGCTGTCCTCTCTTCCTCCTCGAATGCCCGCTATTTGAAGGCTCTCGAGGACTCTCAGAAGTATCACCGGAATTGCCGTATGTGTAGCCCAGAGCACCAATTCCTGCTACGTGCTAGACCATTTCTGCACCGGCATCTGGCTAGAAAAGAAACACTTGATTTTTTAAGCACTCTCCACACCCAACATGGGGCTCGAACTCAACCCTGAGATCAAGAGCCACACGCTCCACTGACTGAGCCGGCCAGGAGCCCCGAAAAGAAACATTTTATGTAAAACTTGCAGGAGGATTAAATTCTATCCTTTTGGACATTCTTCTCCAAATTGAAGTAGCAAGGTCCCAAAAGTCAAAAGTCATGGATTTGACTTTTATGTTCTTTTTTTTTTTTTAAGATTTTATTTATTTATTTGACAGAGAGTGGGGGTGTGGCAGAGGGAGAGGGAGAAGCGGACTCCCCACTGAGCAGGGAGCCCGATGCGGGGCTCTATCCCAGGACTCTGGGATCATGACCTGAGCCGAAGGCAGACGCTTAACCGACTGAGCCACTTAGGCGCCCCTTGACTTTTATGTTCTGTTTCTCTTAATTACCTGAAGAAAGTGTTTGTCCACATGCCACTTAAATCAGTCTTGCATATTGCCAAGGATTTGGGAATCCCTGTTTCAGGAATTTCTGGCTAAAATTGTTCCTTGCCTTATTTAGGAGTGATGATTTATCAGGCTAACGGTCTGCAGTGTCGTACATGATCATTAGAAGTGTGATTCCCACGCAGCTGACAGTCATGTCCTCACCTGAGTTAGATTGGGAGGTTGGGAGCTCTCCGTTCAGCATTAGTGAATGCTTATGTTTAAGTTATTTTAAATAACATGTTTTAGTTTTTTGCCTAAATTTGAGCCCCCTCAGCCATTATTGTCATTTTAAAAAATAAAAGTAATAAATGGCTATGGTTAGAAGAGTCCAAAAAGCTCTAAAATGAGAAGTAAAAGCCTCCCCTTTATGTAGAGGTGCTCACATAAACCGTTTTTCCAAGATCCCTCCAAAGGGGTAGTGTATATAGTAGCATTTTTTTTAGATAAAACTTTTTTGTACTGTGGTATATAATGTAAAATTTACCATTTTAAAAGATTTTTTTAATCTCTACGCCCAGTGTGGGGCTTAAACTCATGACCCCAAGATCGAGTCTCATGCTCCACTGACTGGGCCAGCCAGACGCCCCAAAATTGACCATTTTTAAGTGTACAGCTCAGTGGCATTAAATACATTCACATTATCGTGCAACCATCCACCTCCAGACCTCCTTCCTCTTCCCAAACAGAAACTCCGCCCCTTAAACACTAACTCCCTGTCCCCCTCCCCTAGCCCCTGGCGGCCACCATCCTACTTTCTGTCTCTGTGAACTTGATGACTCCAGCTACCTCGTTTAAGTGGAATCATACATTATTGATCTTTTTTTTTTTTTTTATTTATTTGACAGAGACACAGCGAGAGCAGGAACACAAGCAGGGGGAGTGGGAGAGAGAAGCAGACTCCCCGCCGAGCAGGGAGCCCGATGCGGGACTCGATCCCAGGACTCCAGGATCATGACCTGAGCCGAAGGCAGTCGCTTAACCAACTGAACCACCCAGGCGCCCCTGTGTCGAACCTTCTTGAAGGCATACACCCACAACAGACTTCTGGGTCCAAGGGCAAGCACCTCTTCAATTCTGCAAGCTACTGCTGTCTCAGATATACTCCAGACCTGCCCAAGTAGACCCAGTTGTAACACAGAATGCACCACAAACCAACTGCTCTCCCCTGGGCAACAGCTCTCCTTACCCAGTTACTCTGACCCATCTCAAAGTCAGTAACGAAGCGGCGTGCAGCCCGTTCACCATATTTACAAACAGAACATAGCTCGTGTTGGCAAAGATGTGGAGGGATGCGAACCCCTCCCTGCGCGCCGTTGCTGAGGATGCACACTGCGGCAGCAGCTGTGGGAAACAGCAGGGTCCTCCCTCAAAAAATTAAAAACAGAATTCCCGTATGATCCAGCGATCCCACCTCTGGGTTTACACCCAAAAGAGATGAAAGCGTCTTGAACAGGTATGTGCACCAATCTTCACAGCATTATTCACAAGAACTAAAACCCAGAAGCCAAGTGTCCATCAACAAATGAATGGGTAAGAAATGGAGGATGTACACACAGAATATTACTCAGCCTTAAAAAGAAAAGCAAATCTGACACCTGCCACAGCATGGATGAACCTTGAGGAAGTGATACTGCGTGAAGTCAGCCAGTCACAAAAAGATCAATACTGGGGGCGCCTGGGTGGCTCACTCGGTTAAGCATCTGCCTTCGGCTCAGGTCATGATCCTGGAGTCCCGGGATTGAGTCCCGCATCGGGCTCCCTGCTCGGTGGGGAGTCTGCTGCTCCCTCTGACCCTTCCCCCTCCCATGTGCTCTCTCTTTCTCTCTCTCATTCTCTCTCTTTCAAATAAATAAAGGGATGCCTGGGTGGCTCAGTCGTTAAGCGTCTGCCTTCAGCTCAGGTCATGATCCCAGGGTCCTGGGATCGAGTCCCGCATCGGGCTCCCTGCTCAGCGGGGAGCCCGCCTCTCCCTCTGCCCCTCCCCTGCTTGTGCTCTCGCTCATTCTCGTGCCCATGCTCACTCTCTCTAGCAAATAAAATCTTTAAAAAAGTAAATGAATCTTAAAAAAAAAGAAGGTTCGACACGAGACAGGTGCAGGATTGTTTGTGATAGCAGAAACACGGAAGGGTCCCTGTGTGTTAGTGGGAACACGTGAGTGAACTGTGGTCTCTCTGTTGGGTGAGATACTCTAATCTGTGTGAAGGACCCAGAACTGCGTCAAAACTGATCGCTGAACAATACGTCCTGCATGGCCTAATTTGTGTAAAGTAAGCTTAGACACACCGTGTGCGAGTATACATGTGTGTCAGCGCAGTGACTGCGTTGATGGGAGCAGTCAGGACCTAGCTGGGGTTGGCAGTTCCTCTGGTGAGAGAGTGTGGGCAGCAGCGGGCAGGGGACTTCACCATGACAGCAGTGTTCGACTTGCAAAACACCTCAGCTGGGTTGGAGCTGAGTGGTATAGGCTTTGTACTTCTCTTTGCTTGTTAAAAGGTCTCCTAATTTGCCATAAAGGTTAAATGTACCGCTATCCAGCCTGCTGCCCAAGGAGCAACAGAGAGTTTCAGACATGGCAGGGGTTGGCGGACCGAGGCCTGCACTCTCCGTCTGGCCCGCTGGACCCCGTTTCCGTATCGTCCGTGGCTGCGTGGCGAAGCTGCCTGTGCCCTCCGGAGGCAGAGCCGCATCGCTGGGGACGGTGTGCAGTGGGGCAGTTCCTGGAGCCGGATGCCCTTACCTCGTGGGTCTGTGTGTAGGAAGCTTGCCAAGCCTCGAGACGCAGCAGTGCGGTGTTTCCTAGAAGCAAGAGTGGAGGTTCCCCCGTTGGAGGAGCGAATTCAGGGTTGTCAGGAATCCCTAAAACAGTCTCACTGACCACGTGACACAGGTTAGAGGTTAGAGAAAATTGAAAAGCAGACTTACTATTCTTCTTATGAGTAGCTAGCACCAAGGGCATACGGAGAGCGCTCACACAGGTCAACAGTGCAAACCCGGCTGGTGGGGTGAGTGTTGAGATTGCAGTTTGGATGGGAGCTGTGTGGGGGCAGGGGTGTCAGGAGTGTGTCGGGAGCTCTGACGAACCAAGACCCCCTCGTCCCGCTTGCAGGTCACCAGGGCAGCTTCTGCATGCTGTGCGTCATGCAGAACCATATGGTCCAGGCCTTCGCCAACAGCGGCAACGCCATCAAGCCCGTTTCCTTCATCCGAGATCTGAAAAGTAAGAGTTGATTCCCGACCGGATGGCAGCTAAACCCTAGTCTGCGGTGGGTGCGGGGGCGTTGGGGGTGTGGGGAGGAGTCTGCAGTGAGGCGCGGGAGTCCTAACTCACGTCACAGTACTTTGGCGCACACGGTAGTGCAGACTGAGAGGCTGGTGTGGGGCGGGGCCGGGAGTGCTGACCTCCCTTTGAAGGATGGGGAAGCTCAGGCCAGGTGGGGGACAGGAGCTGTGTCTCAGGGAGGAAGGGGAGGCCAGGGCTCTTCTGAACATCCCCAGACTGGTTAGCGCAGATTTCCTGTTCACTCGGTAGAAGACGTGGGGCGGCTGGCTTCTGGAACCTTGTGCAGCGTCCTTGTGACCGCTTGTGCTCTGTGCCAGCTCCCGGGAGACTGGCTCATCGGTGGGTGCCTGGTGTTGTGCGGCACCTGTGCTTTGCTGTTAAGTATGGAGAGCATAGGCCCTCGGGTCTCGTTGAGAACACACCTGCCGTGTGGACTCGGGGTTGGGATGCACGGTTCATGAAGATCTCAGTTCCCTCGCTTGCCGCTTACCCCTGGCCCAGCAGGGGGTCGGTGATGAGCACACAGCAGCGGGTGACTGGGGGAGAAGGCATGAGCTCTTCCCTGCCAGTCTGATGCTTCTTTCTTTCTTTAGAGATTGCTCGGCATTTCCGCTTTGGAAACCAAGAGGACGCACACGAGTTTCTCCGGTACATGATCGACGCCATGCAGAAGGCCTGTTTGAACGGCTGTGCCAAGTACGTGCCTTCCGTTCACCCACCTTCCTAAGGGGCTTCAGACCCCGCCGCCGCGGAGGCAGCCACCCCTCAGTTCCCCTGGGCGTTCTCTGTAGATATCTGTGTCCAGGTCCTGCACCTGCTGAAGCTCGGATGCGGGGCTGCTCCTGCCTCCCGGGGCACGGCCTCCCCCGCACACCCTCCTCACCAGGGGTGGTTTGGCGGGGCCAGGCGCTGGGGGGAGCCCTGTCCCAGCAGCCCCCTGCAGGAAAGATGCTGGCAGATCTTTCTGAGGGCCTTCGGCTGTTGTCCTAGACTCTTCCCATCTTTTAAAAATCACCTGACTTTGATACAGAGGATGGGGTGGTAGGAATTTCAACATCTTTATGAAAGCACTTGAAAACACATAGGGACATTTGAGGGTGGGAGGTTTACAATTTTTGAGGCTGCGTTCTGCATGGTTACAATGTCTTCATTTTTGATTTGAAAGCAGAGACAAACACATAGGACAGGTTGCTGACTTCATGCTGTGTCTCCCCTTTTGTGAAAAGGGTCAGGGATGTTTTTGTACCACTCCTGGCTCCTGGGTTCAGACAAAAGGAAATAGGCCGAAAATGCTCCCTGTTCCAAGGCTGTTCCCTGGGCTTAGGGTAAAACTGAGTCCTGGACTCTGGAAATACCCCCTTAAAACAGCTTAAGAAACATCCGGAACGTCCTTCAGCAAAGTCGAGTCGTAGCAGTGATCGTGGGCAACCTCTGCTCTCAGTGATGCGATTCTCTTTAAATCCTGAGAAAACTTTCCATGGGTTCCTCTAGCGTCTGTCCCTTGCTGTGCTGAGATGTGCAGCGAGGTCCCTGCTGGCAGATAGACGCTGGTTCTGCCCTTCCCGTGCCTCTTCCCGCCCCGGGCTGTAGCTAATGACCTGAGCTCTTTGCTGATGCCTTCTGCGTGCCAGGCACTGTGTTCACACTGGGTACTTCCAGGGAAAGACTGGGTTCTCAAGTTGGAGGAGCTCAGAGTGAGGGGGCAGGCAGATACTGGCCAGTGTCTACAAGGTCATGTAGTAAGTACTGTAGTGGACAGACTCTGTGGGAGCCATTCCCAGAAGAATTCTGCTGTGCTCTTACCCACAGGAGGCCTCCTTCCTAGGAGGAGTTCCCCGCAGGGCTCAGATGGGGGGAGGGAGGAGGCAAGGAATGTGGCTGGTCCTGGGCGAGGCCTCCCTGCCAAGCAGGTGGGTACAGCACGTCCCCGGCAGGGTTTCCCAGCCTTGGTCATGCAGCAGAATCCCCTGGGACGGCAGCTGACCCTGCCCCCATGCCAGCCTCGTTACCCAGCCTCTCCAAGGTTGGGCCGGTAGGTAGCGTGGGTGTTTGGGGTTTGTGTCCAGGTTCGTGATCTGGGCAGCAGGGTAGGTGGCGGTGTGCCCTTTGTGGTCCGGGGCACAGAAGTGGCTGTGCATTGGAGGAAGGATGAACGTGTCTGACATCAGGTGAGCCAGTGCAGGGGGTTATGGGATGCTTTCCACACACCCCTCCATGAGAAAGGTGTTCCTGCTCTTACTGAAATGAGAAAAAACGGGCGCTTGGGTGGCTCAGTCGTTAGGCATCTGCCTTCAGCTCAGGGTCCTGGGATCGAGCCCCGCATCGGGCTCCCTGCTCGGCGGGAAGCCTGCTTCTCCCTCTCCCACTCCCTCTGCTTGTGTTCCCTCTCTCGCTGTGTCTCTCTCTGTTAAATGGATAAATAAAATCTTAAAAAGAAAAAAAGAGTTACATCAGCTGAATGATTCAATTTGATTTGCCGGTTTGGAAGCAGCTTTTTTTTCCTTTTTGTTTTGTTAGAGATTTTTAGTTGAACTTGTGAGCAGAGAGTATTTCTAATATTTCTACTTTGTGGACCTTGCTGGTACCGGCTTTGTGACCCGGTACATGACGGGTGTTGGCACGGTTCCCGGCGCACCTGACACAGCGTGCTGTCCTGTTGGCTGGGTAGTTGGGTGCGCGTCTGCCGTGCGACCTGCTGGCTGTCTTCTCTGCCCGTGCTCGCTTCCTCCCACCTCGCTCTCTGGCTGGGACGGTGTGCTCTCTCTCCCGTCACTGACGGGCGCCCACCTCCTTGTACCTCCTGAAGCTTTTGCTTTGTAAACGTGGCTGTGGTCACATACCCACAACCATCATATCTTTGTTGAAAGCTCCTTTATTTCATAGGCGAGTTCAGCCCCTTCACATTTATTGTGACGACTGAAGTTTGGTCTTGACCTGGCCGTGATGCTGAGATTTATAATTATCACACACGGCACGTTGGCTGTGTTTCTCCCTCTCTCTCGTTTCCCTTTACACGGTAATTTTTAAGCTTTTGTGTGGTACTCAGGAAGACCTGTATGTCTGTTTGGGTGACGACTCTCCACGCGCCCTTGTGCATGGCCTTGCTCCTCTTTTCTGGTTCTGTTTGTCAGTGTTTGGGGGTGCCCAGCACCTCTGTCCTTCCCTCTCCTCTCTCACCTGCCTCTTAGTTACATTATCTCTTAACTTACTGTTCTCCCCTCCCACGTTTGTCTCCACCTTCGCTTCAGTCTTTCCCCCATTAAATAGGCCTGGGGGGGCCTGTCCTCCTGCCCGGGCGTCCCAGGCGGCCTGGGCTGGGGGCGCGGGGTTTCGGAACCCAGAGGCCAGTCCCTCTCTTGACCTTGCAGGGACCTTACTGAGAGGATTCAGGATCTTTTTTTGCTCTTTAAAGTCTGATGGTTTCACTAGGAACGTCTTTTGAGCTGATCGTTATTGGTCAGTTCGGTAGACCCCTGAGCAGTGACGACGAGAGGTTGAATCTGCGGCACGTGTTGACTCGAGCACCGTGTGCGCAGAAGCGGCTTCTGCCAGCGCGAGCACGTACATCCGAACGCCATCACCTTCGGATCAGCTCAGCTTGAGTGTAGTGGCTTGAGACTGCACGACGATGAATTAGGCCGATCGTACATCAGTGTGTCGTGCTTCCCGCGCGGTTTCCCACCTGCCGTTAGCAGTGACACTCCACACTCATCACAGAGTCCTGTCACCCCCGGGGCACAGGATGGTATTGGTTCTGTGTTAAAGGCCTGTGTCAGGGTCTCCAGTCACTGGCGGCCTCCTGCGGGACCACCTCCTCTCTGGCGGCTCTTTTCCTCGACTTCCCCTCTGGCTGCTTTCCTGCCGTGTTGTGCCCCTCCCCCGTGTTCACTTGAATCTCTTCTCCCTTGGGCCCCTTGGAATTCCCACTTCATTCCTGACGTGATTTCATCTTTTCCCTCCACGTTAGTTAACTCTCCATTTGCCCTTTTTTATTTTTAGTTGTGGAACTTTTTATGGTGGTATTTCCTCTCCCCAAACACTTGTCTGAGGGTCTTTAGGTCAGCTTGGGATCTCGTATTGCTCTTTCATCTGCCTTGGGCTTGCTTTCTAGGGGCTGATCTTCACCAGCTGGGGTGCTGTGATTCTTGTTCACTGTTTTCCTCCAGCAGTGCCCGTGTGGGACTGAGGCCACTTCGGCACCACCCCCGGGCCTGGTGGCTTGCGTGGTTCTCAGTCCAGGGTGCCTTCTGTCCTGGAGCCCGAGCGCTGGACGGCCCCTGGTGTGACGTGTGTCTCAGGACCTGGTGGGCTCCTCCTGCTGGGGATACTGGGCGACTCCGGGATCACCTCTAGTCCCTGCTCTCTGCCTTGGTGCTCCCCAGACCAGCCTTAATCTCCAGCAGGGCTCCCGCAGGGGTATGGAAGACGGCTTGCTAGAATCTGGCCTTATTTCCTACCTACGGCTGGTTTGAGCTTGGAGCTTGCTCTGCCCCGGGGTCCCGAGAGCGGGTTCTGTGCAGTGGTTTGCTGCTCCTGTTCTAACGGCCGGGCCGGCTCAGGGCCACCTGGACTTCAGCAGCCGCCGTCACGTGTGGCTGGCCACGAGCTTCCAGTTTGCGCTGAGATTATGTCCTCAACGGTTTGGGGAAACGTCCCTCCTCTTGACGAATGGTGGTGAAAATACACGGTGGCAGTTGGTTTTTCATTTCCTAATTTTGCAAAGCAGAAACGTGCCCTTGTGTTAGTCCCCCGCTGTGTGGAGTTCCACTCCTCAATGAGCTCCCGGAGTGTGGGCAGCACTGTGGTGGCTGGATCCGTGGCCATTGCCACACACTGCAGGGGGGGCTTCACGCAGGGCGCTGTGCGGTGTGTGCAGGGGGTGGGGAGGAGAGCGCTGGGAGGCGGCACCGCCGAGCGCCTGGCCAGGCCCGGGAGTCAGGGCGTCAGGAGAAACACCTGCAGAGCCGGGGACGCAGGGGACCGGCCTGGAGGAGGGGGGAGCGTGCCCGCGAGGGAGCGGCTGCTCTATCCAGGGCTGGATTTGTGTCCCCGAGGAGGACTCTGGGGTGAGAGAGTCAGAGCCAGATTCGGTGGGTCGCAGGCGGACACCAGGAGCAGAGGCTCGAGACAGGGTGGTGTTTCCAGAATCTCCGTCACATGAACAGCCATGGGGTGCGGGTTCCCAGCTTAGCAGCTCTGTGGGGCAGGTGAGCAGCAGCAGCTAAGGCCTAGGGCGGCCTCAGCTCCTGGTTGGTGAACGGGGCTGGGGGATTCGAGTACAGGCCGGCCTGACCCTGGAGCCCATGCCGTGACAGCTCTTGTCCTGCCAAAAGATGCGGAGGCGGGGGTCTGTCCTGCTCGCTCCCCCTCTTCAGATAAGAGGCTCAGGTGTGTGACAGCCAGCAAGGAGCGGAGCTGACCATGCAGGACTGAGGCGGGGTGAGCTGGGGGGCGGGCGGTGGGTGCCAGGTTGGGAGGGGCGCTTCTGTCCTTGGGACTGGGTGGGCGCACTAGGGGCGTTTCTCTAGCCTCTTGTTTCCTGTGAAGAGTGGGGTGAGGTGCCTGTGGAGAGCACGGGGGTCTTGAAGGCCTGAGGGGGCAGTGGTGGGGCGCGGCCCGGGCCCATCAGAGCAGCAGGGCACAGCTGGGGGTCCACCGAGCGCTGCGGGGAGTGCATCAGACCCACGCTTGTGTGGTGGGATTTCCCCAGGGTGCGCTGGGCTGGGGATGAAAGGGGCAGGGGCTGCCTCCTGGCCACCTCTTGAAAGCTGTGGTCTCCTTTCCAGGTTGGATCGTCAAACACAGGCTACTACTTTGGTCCATCAGATTTTTGGAGGCTATCTCAGATCGCGTGGTGAGTGAAGACGTTTTCTCTACCCCTTTGTCAAGGATGAGAACCTTAACCAGGAAAGACTAGGAGTTCATGCCCAGCTGGAGCCTCTTCCTGACAGGCAGACCTGGGGGAGCCATGGAGGCCCCAGCCTCCTCAGAAACACATCCTTGCCCATGGGCTCGCTGTTCCCGGGAGGAAGTTTGGAGCAGAATGTCCAGCACGGGTAGAGGAGGGTGGCATTATTTTTCCTTTGAGTTCCTTAGTTCTTCACACGTGGCCTCTGCCCTTCAGCTGGGAACTGGGGCCTGTCACTGGGCTGGGTGGCAAGGCGCTGGGTTGGACAGATGTTCCCTTGTGAACTCTGGTTGTCACCGAGCTCTCTCCCCAGACACCGGGGTTCACCAGGGGCTGGCTAGGTCTTAGAGACCTGGGGGTGGCGCACTGGGGGCACCTGCACCCACCCCACCACCTCCGTATTCCGTTGCAGTGAAGTGCTCAGTGTGCAAGAGCGTCTCGGACACATACGACCCCTACCTGGACATAGCGCTGGAGATCCGGGTACGGCCCGCAGCTCCGCTGTGTCGTGTTTGCCTTCAGCTGGGGAGGCTGGGGAGGCCGGGGGGTGGGGAGCAGGGGAACCAGTGAGGGCATATTACTTAGGTAGATAAGGAAAGAAATACTGGGAATCGTACTGCCTTAAAGTAGGGGCCACTGTTTTTGCACGTTGATTTTTAGCCTTTTCTCTGTGCGCATTCCTTTCGTTTAACACAGGAAGATACAATGCAGCTTTGTGTCCCGAGGCATGAGGGGTGAGCACACTGTAGATGGGAGGGCCCAGGGCCGCTCACATGCGTGCCCCGGGGAGGCCAGCCTCCGTCCTGTTCCAGCCCTCTGTGGCTGCAGCCCTCTGTGGCTGCAGCTGCGTCGGGGTCGTCGGTGCCTGGGGTGCAGGGGAGCCCTGCCGGGCTGTACCCTGTGTCCGTGGAGCCGGCTTGGCCGCCCACTCCCTGCTCCTCTGTGGGAAGGCCCAAGGGTCCAAAGGCAGCAGCCGGCAGGCCGGTGTGGATGCAGGCCGATGGCTGGGATTTGCTGCCTCAGCCTGACAAAGACCTTACAGTTGGCATTTCTTGAGTCAGCCTTTTTCTTCCGTTGACGCGATTCCATTTTTGTCCTCCTCAGCAAGCTGCTAATATCGTGCGTGCTCTGGAACTTTTTGTGAAACCAGATGTCCTGAGTGGAGAGAACGCCTATATGTGTGCAAAGTAAGTTTCGTTTTGCTCCCGGCAGAGCGAGCCCGCCGTCAGGGAAGATCTCGAGTAAGCCGCCTGCCCACGCTGCGGCCGGGCCGTCTCTGCTCAGGGCCCGCCGTTAGTCCCTTGCGGAGCTCAGACGCTCTGTGCGGCACAGAGGAAGTGCGGCCGCGGTTTTGCTAGCTGACGTCTGTTTACGTCGCCCTTGGGGTGCGCCAGGCACCATTCTGAGCGCTCCTCACCGGGGAAGTAGGTCCCAGCGGCGGCACAGAGCGGGGAGGGGACCGCACGTGGCCGTTGGCTCTAGCCTCTCTGTCGCCCCCGTCCCAGGTGAGCTGCCTTCGGTGGCCCGGGCCTCCTGAGGGCCGCAGAGACTTAGCATGTGGGTGCTGTGGTTCGTGTGTAGCTCCTTCAGAAGCTGCGGTCACTAAAGAATAGTTTTCTTTATTACGCTTTTCAGATCGATTATCCCGTGCCAAAACACTGCTTTTCCCCCCCTCTAAGTTCGTCTCTCCGTGCCCTAGAGGCTGTTTGCTCTCCTTCGTCTTCTCTCCCCCTCACTTCCGTGTCTTTGGGCTTCACTCACAACGATTTCACTCAGCCAGCCCCGCTCCAGGTGCTCCTTCCTGTGTCCCAGGGCTGCTCCCCGTGCGTCCGACTTCGTGCCGTCCGTGGGAAAGAGCTTCCTTGTTGCTCTGCGGTCTCCGGTCTCCAGCTTTCCCCTGGTCCTTGGTTCCCTACGCTGGCTTCCCTTCACTTAAGTCGCAGGGGTTCATGTCTCGGGATGCAGACGGCACATGCCTCAGCCAAGGAGACCCTGTGCCGACAGAGCAGGTGTCACCGCTGTGGGCCTGCATGAGGACAGCATTCCTCAGAGCACCAGCTGATCCCTTTCCACTCACCCTCCTCACAGATGCAAGAAGAAGGTCCCAGCCAGCAAGCGCTTCACCATCCACAGAACATCCAACGTCTTAACCCTCTCCCTCAAGCGCTTTGCCAACTTCAGTGGGGGGAAGATCACGAAGGTAAGCCTTCGCCGTGGTGTCCGATCTGTGTGGTCAGCCGCGTTTAAGGAATACAGGTTCCCAGCACTACCCCAGAGCCAGTGACTGGAAATTTCTGGAAGACAGGGCTCAGGAGTCCTCATGTTTGCAGAATCCCTAAGTGGTTGTCACGCACGGTCAACTTCAAGAACCGCTGCCTCACTGGGTTCTTTCGCCAACCTCTGCTTGTGTGTGGCATGTTCCCGATACAGAAGCTCAAGGTTTCCTTCAGAATAAGTGAGAACACTACACTGTGGGGCTCTGATCTACCACGTGCTGTTTCGTGGCTGACATAGGTGTAGTTGTGTGCCGTGGCTTTTTGTGGAAGGTAGAATAAAAACTTACTTTTGTACAATGGCATTTTATTTTATTTTACTTTATTTCTTTAAGTCATCTCTCTACCCCCAACATGGGGCTTGAACTCACGACCCCGAGATCAAGAGTGGGACGCTCCCCCGACCGCGCCCGCCAGGTGTCCTGCACAGTGGCGTTTTAATAGAAGATGCCGTATCATAAAAGTGGTTAGAACCGACTTAGATGGTTTGGGGCAAGGCACTTGTCAGAGCCTCAGCTTCCTCACTGGCAGTGATGGGGCTTGCTGATATCAGCATTTCCCAAACTGGTGTTCCGCAGAATGTTTGTGCTGTATGTTTCCAAGATAGCGTATTTTGTATGTGCAACTGTATTGTATTTTGAAAGTGGTCTGTGCTCAGCCAAGTTTGGGAACTGCCAAGCTGAAATTCAGCAGTCCTTTTTAATTGCAGGCCTTCTCAGAGCCTTTATTAATAAGCTCTGTTGTATTTTGAATTTCCAGGAAGGAAATTTATTGTGAAGAGTTGTTTTTTTTAAAGATTTTATTTGAGACAGAGAGCAAGTGGGCATGAATAAGTGGGGTGCAGGGGGCGGCAGAGGGAGAAGCAGACTCCACTGATCAGGAAGCCTGACGTGGGACTTGCTCAGGACTCCCAGGACTCCAGAATCACAACCTGAGGCGAAAGCAGATGCTCAACCGACTGAGCCACCCAGGTGGCCCTATACACGCTGACTTTTTAAAAAATGAAATACAGGGGCGCCTGGGTGGCTCAGTCAGTGAAGCGTCTGCCTTGGGCTCAGATCATGATCTCAGGGTCCTGGGATCTAGTCCCACATCAGGCTCCCTGCTCGGTGGGTCGTCTGCTTCTCCCTCTGCCTCTGCCCTTTCCCCCACTTGTGTGTGTGCACTCTCTCTCTCAAATAAATAAAATCTTAAAAACAAACAAACAAGAAGGATTGTCAAATTTTGAAATAAACTCTGGCATGACTTTTGTCCTGACACACACAGTTACGATTTTGACTTACTGTGACCGTTGGCTCCATGGAGTGAGCGCCTTTTTCTCTGAAGACCCAGACCCGGGTGTTGCCTCCCTGTTCCTTACAGTGGCAGGGAGGGCATGAGCTATTCCTCTCATCTTACACGTGGGACCCACGCAGGGCGAGGGTGGCCTTGGACGCAGGGCAGAGATAGGAGAGATCGTGAAGCGCTTCACAGATTGATAAAATAGGGTTTTGCATCGGTTGGTTGGTTGGTTGCCTCCTATTCTTTAACTCTTGGCCAGGGGCTTCTTGGCACAGCGTTGCCGCAGGCCCTGTTGCCCCCGGATTGTCAAAGACCAGCCGAGGAATTCTGCATTTTACGTGGTCGGGGATGGAGAGGGTGAATGGACCCTTTCCCCCATGGATGAATTTTCATTGCCTTATCCTTGGCTTTTTCTCCAGGATGTGGGCTATCCGGAATTCCTGAACATCCGTCCGTATATGTCTCAGAGCAGCGGAGAGCCTGTCATGTACGGGCTGTATGCGGTCCTGGTCCACTCGGGCTACAGCTGCCACGCAGGCCACTACTACTGCTACGTGAAGGTCAGTGCTCCCGTGTGCAGGTGCGCTTGTGTCACGTGGCAGTGCCCGTTGGTACAATTCCCAAGTGTGGCCTCCGTGGAGAGTAGCCTTGTTTGTCTTTGTGTTCAGGGCCTGTTGTTGCTTTGGGGAATGGCGGGCAAAGATGTCTTTGAAGCCCATCCCACTAGGAGCTCTAGTGTCCTTGTCCTTGGATGGGACCCCGGAGGGGCTGCTTCCAGGGCCCGATCCTGGAACCCGGGTGGAGGCTCAGGAAGGCTGCATATTGGTGGGAGATGCTGTGCTGCTCAGACCCGAAATACCCTTTAGAGGGGAAAGCTCTAATCTGCTGGGGCAGCAGGAAGGAACAGGGATTCAAAGCACACTTCGTAGTCACATTCAGAGCCCGACGAGCATTAGACGTTTTAATATGAAGTCATTCGTAGTTCGTTAGCACGTGGATAGATGCAGCAGTTAACTGTAGATTTTTTATTTCATTCTTTAAAAACTGCGGATTACGGGATGCATGTTGATTGTCCCGTTTTGTTTTCTGCTATACCCTGTGCTCCTTCAGGCAAGCAATGGACAGTGGTACCAAATGAACGATTCCTTGGTCCATTCCAGCAACATCAAGGTGGTTCTGAACCAGCAGGCCTACGTGCTCTTCTATCTGCGGTGAGTAACTCCTGCCCCCGCCCCCGTGAGCTCGTTCCCTCTGTTCTCCCTGGCCTGTTTCTGTGTGGGCATAATGGAGAGCTCGCCAGGGTTGGGGTGGGGGTGGGGGGCGTCCACAGGGAAGCGCTCCTCTAGACCAGGCCAGCCCGCTGCTGAGGAACAGCCAGCGCCTCTGGGAAGGTCAGAGCAGGATTCCATCTGCGTGCTCCACACCGAGCTGACTTTGAGCAGAAACAGGAAAGTTACCTATTCTTCTTGACTGTTGCCCCGAATGAGATGTGTGTGGGTGTCGGCTTGCTGACGCACCTTCCTCTGTGGGCAGTGAAGGAACCTGTCAGAGGGTGGAGGCCGCAGCCGGGCACCTTCTCTTGGGGCCAGTTGTCACCGACCTGGAGGTTGGATGACGTGGAGACTGGAGGCATTTTTGCTGCTTTGTAGCTGTTCAGCTGAATTTGGGTGCAGTGACTGAGGGGTCTCTGGCTTCCTGGTAAAGCGAGAGTCTAGTCTTGGAAGGGTTCCGCCTCTGCTGGGCTCTCTGTTCACGCTGAGCAGATCCCCGAGGCTCCGTGACAAGCCCACGTTGTTGTGAGGGCAGCATGGGAATTCAGAGAAGCACGCCCGGGCATCGGGGTTCTTTCTGGGATGCCTCTGGGGCTTCAGTAAGACATCCCCAACTGGTTTCCTTCCTTCCGCAGAATTCCAGGCTCGAAGAAGAGTCCTGACGGCTCCCTCTCCAGGACTGTCTCCTCCGTTCCCGGCCGTCCAGGCGTGGTTCCAGACCACTTGAAGAAGAACATTGGCAACGGGGCTGTTGGCTCCCCGCTGACCGGGAAGGTACGTGTTTCAAAGGGTCCTTCCTGCCTCTGCCTCTCGGGACCATGGAGCCCCCAGACCTCTTCATGCTCGGGGACTTAGCCCGAAGGAAGGAGAGCTCCGTGTGTCCTGTTTTATTCCACGTTCTCTCTCAAATTGGTCACGAGCTGACCTTGGGGGAGGAGGAGGAGGGACCGTGATGAGAAGACCTGACCTAGCGAGCAGGTCAGACAGTAGCTCGGCGTGCCCGTGTCCTAGGCCAGCTGCCGTGCACGCTCGCCCTGAAGCATCTGGGGAGAAGTGCTTTTTATCCTCACAATTCAATATTGAAAATGTGGACAGTTTTTAGCAGTGTTAATCCCCTGCTTTTGATAATTATGCCGTGGTTATGTTAAAACATCTTTGTTCTTAGGAATATACATGGACATATTTAGGAGTAAAGGGACATCGTGTCTAAGATATATTCAGATGGCTAGGAAAAGAAACGTCACACATACATGCGTAGACACACACACGTGGAGTGAGTGAGCGAGAAAGCTAATGTAAAATGTTAGCAATTGGGAAATACCCTTGTTTTCAAGTTATTTTTGTTAGAGGTTATTTTTGTGTGTATTTGAATTTTTCTACTACAGATCAGTTTTATTAGCAGAGTAGTAAGCAATTTCCTTACTACAACACAGTTTATAACTCAAAAACAGGTCCTTTCTGCTGACTGCGTCTGTCATTCTTCCCCTTCAGTCTGAAGGTCACATCTGAACACAGGCTGTGGGGCCTTCATGATCCACAGGGCGTTGGTCCTTACGCAAATCTGCATTTCCCTTCCAACATGTGAGAAATAGAGGCATTGGGATTGACATGGCAAGGAAAAGCCACGGCCTGATGGCCAACGGGGTTGTCACTGTGGCCCAGGCCAGGAGTCGGGACCACGGGGCCACGCTACTGGCCAACCACATTCGCATCACGAAGATAACGTGCCACACATACTGCAGTCGCACAAAAGCCATTTTACTTTAAATGACGTTGTGTAAGTTCTATAAACTTAAATGTTCAACGAGAAGGTCTTACAGTGCAGCAGAAAGATGTGTTCTCTTTAGAGAGAACGTAAGTAAAGGATAAATTATTTTTAAACGTAGCGAAAAAAAGAGAAGAAGAAACTCGGAGGGAAGTAGAAGTGAATTCTCAGTAAGCCTCCAGAAGAGAGAAGGCCGTAAGACAAAGTATAGAAAAACAAACAATAAATTGGATAAATTTTGAATTTCTGTATGTGAAATATTAGAAATAAAAAAACTTCTAAAAATATTTGCGGCAAGTACAACAAAAGGTTAGTGTTTCTAGTACATAAAGGACTTGTTCGGACGAGCTCAGATCACAGGGTATTAGGGTTGGTGTAGTAAGAGCGAGCAGTGGTGTTGAATTAGCAAAGATTTTGAAAAAGAGCTACTTGCTGCCGGTGAGAGTGCAGCAGGTGCCCTGCAGAGCGTGCGTCAGCATCCATGGAAGCATCCGTAGCCTGGTAACCATTCCCAGAACACGAGCAGGAAATTTCCTAAGTAGGGCAAAACGTTTAGTCTGTTAGTTGTTCGTTCATGGAAATGTTCAGCAGCCAATCAAGTGGTTGTTAAGCCCTGACTCTAGAAGACCCCGCGCTAGTCGGGAGGCAGGAGTGGGGAGCAGCACAGACCCGGGCCATGTAGAGCATTTAAACGGAGCCAACGGTTCAGCCCCGGCAGCAATGAGTCTGTGGAGGAGAAGGATGGGGTACTTGGTCAGGAGCTGTTCATTTCCATGGCTGGAGACAGTACAGGCTGTAGAAACTTCACGCAGCAAGGTGGGTGCTGGTCAGACGTTCAAGACCTTCCCCAAGCACGTAGGACGATGCTTCAGGCAACGCGTAGGTGGAACTGGGCGCACCTGTGTAGGCCAGAGCCATCCCGGAGATCAGGGCCAAACAGAAGGCGCCAGCATATTCGTTGGCACTTACGTTTGGACAGTGGGTGGAACTCTGGTACTTTTTTTTTTCCTTTGTACTTTTTTGTGTTTCTTCACTCTTGATGGAAACATCCTGCTTTCAGTAAAGGTGACCGTAAAGAGACACACCCCCATGTGCACAACTCAGAGAATACTGAGTGTTCAAAGAAGAAGCAGTGTCTTTACCGTGTGTCCATGTAGATAATCTGTCTTGAATTGCTTGGCAGAGACCCTGCTTGCTGCAGAAGGGGCTCTGACCTTGTGCGGGAACCGCCAGCCTGCACTCCCTCCAGGGTGTGATCATGTCCTCTGCTCTCCTCCAGCGACTGGACTCTGTGCCGATGAAGAAGCTGCCAGCCACTGAGGAGCTCGGCGTGCCCATTTCCAGGAACGGCTCCGTGTCGGGTCTGAAGTCTCAGAATGGATACGTTCCTCCAAAGCCACCCGTGGGGTCTCCTTCCCCCCGACTCTCCAAAACACCCCCCCACACACCAACCATTCTGGATGAGCCTGGAAAGAAAGTTAAGAAGTCGATGCCCCTGCAGCACCTCTCCCCGTCACGCAGAGCTTCTCAGGGGTTCCATGGGACCAGCAATGGGAGCGGCAGCAGGAGTGAGCGCCTCAGGCAGGGCTCCTGGGACGGCAGGGGTGCCGCCCTCTCTACCTCACCCAGGCTCCCGGCCGGAGTGACTGCCAACGGGCATGGGCCCAAGGCGGGTGGCGAGAGCCCCGAGCTCGATGGGAGGGATTCCAGCAGCTCCAGCCCGGAGCACTCTGCCAGCAATGACCCCACCAAGGCCCCCCAGACGCCCAGCAGAGCGGCCCACTTGGGGGATTCTCAGGGAACACACTCCAGAGCGCTGCCGGATGGAGACGACCCCAAGGTGGTGAAGCCCAAGTCCCCTATCCTGAGCCGCACCGCCACCGAGCCCACAAACATCATGTCTCCTCCACCAGCCAAAAAACTGGCCCTTTCTGCCAAGAAGGTGGGTGTGTGGGAGTCTGCCCGCCGGAAGTGTGTCTCTAGGGCTCACAGAGCAGGTTTGGTTTTAGTCCGGGGGGAGTGGGGGAATTGTGTTGAGGCCTTTGGCCTCCCCCGATCAGGGCAACGAAGTTGTAGGCATTTGCAAACTGCACAGGGCTGTCCTGGGGCCGAGGAGGGGTTTGGGGGACCCTGATGTGATACACACTCCATATAGCTGCTGGGGGTTGGGGAGAGGCGGCAGGTCCCCATATTTGTCCGTAGACAGAATCTCCTAAAGAAGCCTCAAGGGGAAGACGGGGCAGGTGCGGGGGGCTTGGCAGGGAATCCAAGCGCGGGGGGCGTACAGGACGCGGGCGGCTGGTACCTGTGTGTGCAGCACCAAGCTCGGTGATGTAACTGTGCTGAGATTTTTGTTTAAATTTCCTTCCTTTTTTCCTTTTTGTTTCTAACCAAAAACACTTCTGATTCTTCTTCTACCATTCCCCTTCCCCACCTCCCCCCTTTTTTTTCTCCTTCTGTCCCTTCATCCTCCTTTCTGGGCTCTTTCATTTTTATTTTTATTCTTTTTATTTTTTATTTTTATTTTCCCTCTTCACTCACGGCAACCTCTTTTAGACCACCAAGTTTTTATTTATGTCAATAACTGCAGGCCAGCACCCTGCGGAGGGCAGCCGACAATGACCTCCGTCCACCCCTCTCACCACTGTCCGACCTCACCTACCCCAGGAAAACCACTCACCCTGTCGCCGCCTCCTCCTGGCCTGTCTGTGCAATCAGGTGAGCCGCGGGCGCAGGCCCCCCGGGCCGGCCGCTCCTCCCCTGTGCTTAGCGCGTGCTCGGCTGGCGAAGATGCACACGGTCTCCAGCCTTGCGGGATGGACAGTGGTGTGCGGCTGGACAGGTACAGGGCGGATCCTGCACCGACTTCTTGTTTTTTCTCTCCCTCTTCATCCGGTAGAGGAGCTCCGGCTGGTCAGAGGCAGCCTGGTCTCTGCAGTCTTGATCTTTTCACTTTTGTCTTCATTTTCCATCCACCTGCCATGTCCATGCGGGGGCGGGGTTGTGCCGTGGGTCCCTCCCCAGTCTCGTGACAGGACTCCAGAGTAGAAGAGAAAGGCAGGAGTTGCAGAAGGACCCTGCGTGAACCCAGAGTCCTGTGACCCCGCTGAGGGGTGTCTCGCTGCCGGGATCATTCTGCATCTCCCACCAGCACTCCCCAGGCTCTTCTCATCCCTTAGCCCTGCACAGAGCCTCCCTGCATGGGCTTCCCCCCCGCTGTCCCCTCGCACTGGCTTCCGGAGCTTTGGGCGGGCGTCCAGAGCGGGGACGTGTGGTTCTCTGGGAGCTCTGTTCAGGCTCCCCAACAGACGTACCTCCCGTCCTGTTGCACACGGGGTGCTTAGATCCCTCAGGGTGTTGAGAAGCAGACAGCTGAGTTACTGACACCTGCTTGCCCAGTGGCTGACGGAGCCCCTGGCAGCTGGGGAGGGAGGGAGGAAGGAAGCTGGGCGAGGCCAGGAGGTGGTTTGGGTGGTTTGGTGTTTGCCTTGGGCGCTGATGTGTCCTCCCCACCCTCTGGCCGCTCCGGGCTGGGTGCTGGGTGCACACTCCCATCACCCGGCCTCTCCCACCCTCACAGCCGGGCTGGACCCAGCACAATATTTTTGCATGTGGAAGGTCCTTAAGCATGTAAGGCAGCATTTACTGTGGGTTTTTTTTTTTTCCTTTTTTGACGTAGAGACTTTTTTAAAAATTTTCCAGAAGACAGTAAACGGAGTAGCAGTGCAGCGTGTGTAGGTGTCTGTCCTGGTTTAGTAACGATAGTCCTATTTGATTCCGTAACCCTTTGAGGTCGGCGTTACGGTCACCCAGTCACAAATGAGAAGAGTGAGGCCTAGAGCAGAAGGTTAACTCTCGCAAGGTCACATCGCTGGCGGGAGGTGGGTCAGAGAGCCTAACCTGACGGAGCTCCCAGTCCCGCCCTCCCACGTCTCACTGTGCGATCAGCTGATTTTCCGGAGCCCCCATATCAGAGGGGAACCCTAGTGCACCATGTACAGGCCTGCGCTGGCCCTTCTTAAGGCTGGTGTCGTGGGTGTAAACACCTTGAGGCTTGTGGGCAAATTTAGAGAAGTTTCTCGTAACAGACCCACGTTGAAAATTAGTAACATTAGTTAGGGGCACCTGGGTGGCACGGTGGAGCGGCCGACGCTTGATTTCAGCTCAGGTCATGATCTCAGGGTTGTGAGATCGAGCCCTGCGGCGGGCTCCGTGCTCAGCAGGGAGTCTGCTGGAGATTCTCTCCTCTCCTCTCTCCCTGGGCCCTTCCCCCGCTCGTGTGTGTGCATGCTCTCTCTTTCTCTCTAAAATAAATAAATCTTTTAAGAAAGACAGTAATACAAGTTTGGAAAAATACTTTGAACTGCTTGGTGACCGGAAACTAAAAGGTTCTGATTTTTGGTAACTTTGATTTTCAGTAAATTTGGATTTTGTCATTTTCCTCTTTTCTAAGTCAGTGGCATTTATGCGTACGTGAGATTCACACGGCGGGGTGGGGGCGGGGGGAGGACCATGGGAAATCCTCACCTGGACGGGCAGGGGGCTGTGGGCAGGCAGGAGGGGCCTGCCTGTGCGTCAGAGCAGCGTCTCCCCACAGGGCGCTTTCACCTGCTCCCCCACCATCCAGCCACCTGAAGCTCCCCGTCGGTGCCCGCTCCGTGTCACTGTCCAGTAGCCCCCGACCTCCCGAGACGTCAGACCCACAGAGCTGCTCCTCCACCTCTGCTCTCCTGCCTCAGGTCAATGGGGGCTCCCAGGCCTCTTCACACCAGCTGCCAGAGGCCAGCAGGTCCCCCCAGAGCCTCTGTAAGAAGAGGAAAAGGAACCGCAGGGGAGAGAGCCAGGGGCAGGGCTCAGAGACGAGCGCAGCAGCGGCAGCCTCTCTGGGAAAGAGGAGGAGGAAGAAGCGGAAGCGCGCGGAGGCTGCGGACGCCTCCCGCCTGCAGGAGGGGCAGATGCAGAGGCAGCACTGGCTCCTCGAGCGCAGGAAGGAGGCCCGGGCAGAGGGGCCCGCCGACAGACTGGAGGACCAGGGCGGACGGCAGCAAGAGAACAGCCGGCAGCGGGGGAGCGGGACCGACGGCCGCCCCGGGAGCAGCAGGAAGAGGAGACGGAAGGGAGCGGAGGGCCTCGGTGCGGAAGACTGCCTCCAGCGGGGCCCACCGTGGCTCAGGTGAGAGTGGGAGCCAGGCCGCCCGGCACCTCCCCCAGCAGCGCGGTCCGTGCCCAGTGGGGGGTCTGGAAACCCAGGGCGCTGCCGGGCTTCCAGGACAAGACCGCGTCCTTACGTGTCTCGACGGGCATGTGAGCGGACGGCGCTGAGCGTGCGGGTGGTCACGGGCCCCCAGGCCGGCAGGTGCTGCAGCCGCGTCAGCTGGCCTGGAGGACTCGCCCGGGCTGGGTGCGGTTGGGGGCTTTTCTCTCAGGCTTGACTGTCACCCCGGAAGCTGGCGTGCTTTGTCCTGCTCCCGTCTGCGGGGTGTTCTTGGGGTGGCTCCTCTGCGGGCTCGAGGCATGTGCCACTTGGGAGTTCCGGGGTATCGACCTGAACCCCCACTCTCACCCTCCATTTGCCCGGAGCTGACTGTGGACTCTGACTTCCCAGGAGCTGCTCTCCCTTGGACGTCGTTGAGCTAGAGGCCACTGTAGCATCTCCGAGGAAAAAGAAAAAGAAAAAAAGACAGCAGGAGTCACGGCAGGAGGTAGAAGAGGACGAGCACCTTGAAGCCTGCAGGGGCGAGAGGCAGAGGGGCTCTGCTCCCCCTGGGAGCCCGCCTTCCCCGCCTGTGGACGGCAGGCGTCCCGGGGACGGAGCAGGTACGCACCCGCGAGGAGCAGGGGGCTGGGCCCGGGGACGGCGCAGGTGTACGTGCCGGAGGGGGGCACCCGGGAGCACACCTGTGCCCAGCCCTGCCGCGTGGCTACAGGTAGGTGTAGTGCGGGGGAGGGGCCGGAACGAAGCCCTCTTAGCTCTGCCCTGAGTCCGTCCCCTTGGGCAGGCTGTCTGCCCTGTGGGTCGCAGCTTCCTCATCTGGCAAAGCAGTCAGCCCAAACTACCCTTATGTGTTCTTGGAATACTGTGTTTTTTCTGATTCAGGGCTCTTCCTGCCTAAACTTTCCCCTAAAAACTCAGGGCCATTCAGCCTGGAGTTTGTTTTTTTTTTTTTTGTTATTCTTGAACTTGAAAGGTCGGGTTCAGAAGTTAACCTTCCTCTGCCTGTTTTTATAGTTAGGCTGTTTTTGTTTTGTTTAAGATTTTATTTATTTGAGAGAGAGCGCAGGAGAGGGAGAGGCAGACTCCCCGCGGAGCAGGGAGTCCGATGCAGGGCTTGACCCCAGGACCCCGGGATCACGACCTGAGCCGGAGGCAGACGCTTCACCGGCTGAGCCTCCCAGGCGCCCCAAGTTGGGCCTTTCTGAAGACAACGTGGCCCCTTGCCTTTGGGGTTTCCAGCTCTTCGGCTGTTCCCCAGGGCTTGGGTGCCCATGGTTAAGCGACTTCTGGTTCTGTTTCCTTCAGGGCTGGCCGGGCTCAGCTGGGCTGTTCTGATACAGCGTGTCCATTAGTGAAGGGGAGAGAAGGTCACACCTGCTTGGGAAGGGATCCAGCATGGCAGCAGATTCTGTGAGGTCTGCTCTGCAGCCTGGGGATCCAGTTACGTTAGTGCTTTTGGGGGTGAACAGGCTGCTGGGAATGGTTTGTGTTTGTCAAACTCCTGATAAATAAGTCTATGACTAAACATTAATCCTATGACAAGGGGCGCCTGGGTGGTGCAGTCGGTTAAGTGTCCAACTCTTAGTTTCGGCTCAGGGCATGATCTCTCAGGGGCCTGGAGTCGAGCCCCACATTGGGCTTCAGGCTCGGTGTGGAGTCTGCTTGGGAGTCTCCCTCTCCCTCTCCCTCTCCCTCTGCCCCTCCCACCTGTGCTGTCTCTCTCTCAAATCTTAATAAAAAAAAAAAAAAAAAAAAACCATGAGAAAACACTACCGCTGGGCAATGAGGAGGGTGGCCAGTACGTTGGAAGAAAGGCTCCTCAAAGGTGGCGACAGAGCAGGCTGGCGGTGGTCATCAGACCACAGGGCTTGCTTTGTTGGCACATTGACCAGACGGGGATGCTCCCCGGGCCTCCTGGCCCGCTGCCCCGTGCAGGTGCTCGGGCTGCGGCGGCCCAGCCCCTCCTCTGTTTGTTCTCCGTCCTGATTATCGGAAGAGCTGGCTCCGTGGGGAAGGGCATTCACAGCCAAGAGACGGAGAGAGCGATGTGGGTGGCCCTGCCTGGCCACTGGGCCGGGCTGTGCTGTGCAGCACGGGGCAAGAGGCTGGACAGGGCGGCAGGGACCGGGCTTGAAGGTCACAGTGTCATTGATCAATTGGAGGCCCGGAGAGCAAGGGCGGGTTCGTGCTGAGGGACGGGAGTGCGTTCTAGCAGTTGTAGGTGGTTAGAGGGGGCCAGGCAGAAGTTTCTAGAAGCCTGAGGAGGGTGGTCTCTGCTGTCACCACGCAGCTGTCCTCGGTGGCCAGGCTCTTCCAGGACGCGCTGGGAGGCGGCCTCCCCAGAAGCTGTGGTGACAGCAGCCCTTGGTCATCCCCTCCAGTTCCCGCCGTATCTTGTTTCTGGCCGTTTCCCTGTGGGAGGAGCGGGTCCCCCCGAGCTCTGTCTCACCCGTCCTGCATCAGACCGAGGGCTCACGCTGCTGCTTGCAAGTTTTCGGTCTTGTTTGGGGGGTGGGTTTTTAGTCTTTTCCAAGAGTTGATTTGGACGGTAGCCCTTCTCGAGAAGGACTCAAGTACCTCGTCAGAGGCAAACGTATGTAAGCAGTTCTCTGATTGCAGGACAGGCCCCGGCTCCTCTTGCGTCCTGGAGTAGAGAGAGGGAGTCCGACGTGCTCCAGGAACTGCTCAAGTATTCGTCAGATAAAGCTTACGGGAGGAAAGGTACTGGTTTCGAGAATGGACTTCTGTCCTACGGTTCACTCATCGGGCAGCAGAGGTCTGAAGTGGACCCGCTGTGTCATGATCCTGGGGCGGCGGTGTCACTGGGCTTTACGGACGGGCAGAGGAATGTCAGCCATGATCCTCCCTGAGCTGCAGCCGTCGCACAAAGTCCAGAACCAGTCCCTGTGGGAGGATCCAGAATGCCGCCTCCCCGGGGGTGTGAGCAGAGGCAGGGAGAACAGATCTTGGGCCTCTGGGTGGCGTGGGCCGGCTTGGGAAGGGCGTGGATGGGAATCACCCAGCACCGGTGCTGTACATTCTTAGTGTCAGAGAAAGAACATGAGACCTTTGTCTCTCAGATGAGGGCACAGGTTTGAAAGGAACCAAACTGGGGGAGGCTGGTGGTACAGAGCTAACAACGTTTGCGCTTAAGGGACGGACCACTGTCCTGCACGCTGGGGACCACTCTGCCCTCCCTCATCCTTCTCTGCATGGTCCATTTAACCGAAAGGTGGCCCTCGAACATGCTGAATGTATCAGGAGTAGGCCAGTCTGGGTCGTAAACACCATTCTGGAAGCAAGTGCACAAAGGTGCCGACGCTCAGTGTCTGCTTTGTAGTGTTGACGTGGGGTGGCGAGGTGTCGGCTGTCAGTCAGGATGCCATTCAGGACAGCAGATGGGCCCGCGCCGCCACGGTGATCGACGACTGGGATGAAGAGTTCGATCGAGGGAAGGTATGGGGTGCACTTGAGGCTGGCGTGACAGGGTACTCACGGTGGCCCCGCCGAGGGCTGGGCAGGGAGGACTTGACCCTTTGGGGCAGTTTGAAGTGGCAGCGACATTGTAAAGTGGTCAAGTACAACAACGGGAGGCAGGCTGCTGGACTCGGATGCCGGCCTGGCCACTGTAAACGTTGTGTGGCCCGGACGAGGCATTTTTCCCCGTTGCTTGGTTCCTTCATCAGCAAGGTGGGGGCAGTGGGGGCACCTCCCTCAGGCCACTTGAAGAGTAAGCTGGTTGGTTCTGTAGCAAATCGAGAATCGTGTCCCCCCACCCAACAAGCCTTCACGAGGAGCCACAGGGACCAGGGGAGAGCCCTTTTCAGGAATTGTGACGCCTGGGGTTTCTTTATGTAGGAAAAGAAAGTGAAAAAGTTCAAAAGAGAGAAGAAAAGAACATACAACGCCTTCCAGAAACTACAGAGTAGACGGAACTTTTGGTCTGTGACTCATCCAGCTAAGGCTACCAGCCTCAGCTACCGCCGCTGACTTTGCTGCTGTCAAGATGGGTTAGTGTGGGGAAGGTGTAAGGGGTGCGTTAGTGTGTGGTTTGTATTTTAATGTGGTGGGGGGGTGTGGTATGGGGCATGTGTCTAGTGCATGTGCGTGCGGTGAGGTGCACGTTAGCGTGCGGTGTGCGTGTGGTGTGCGTGCGGTGAGGTGCACGTGTGCGTGCGGTGTGCGTGTGTGTCTGGTGTGTGCACGTGTGGTGTGCATGTGGTGAGGTGCATGTGTGCGTGTGGTGTGCGTGCGGTGAGGTGCATGTTAGCATGCAGTGTGCGTGTGGTGCGCGTGCGGTGAGGTGCACGTGTGTGTGGTGTGCGCACGTGTGGTGCGGAATGTGTAGGGCAGGACTGGGTGTTTTCAGAGCGCCATCTAATGGTGCGTGTCGTCCCGTGGGGACGCACACTCCCGGGGTGTTGGTGGGACTCCCAGGGTCTCCCTCCGTCTCCTCAGGAGCAGTGTTGTGTGCCCCACAGCCTCGGGAGACGAGGTGTCCCTTCCTGGGCCCTGTCCGTCGGAACTGAAGAGCGGCCTTGTCGAGGACCCCGCTGCCCCGTTGCTGCCAGGCCCACACCGGCTGCAGGAGGAATGCCCACAGGTCTGGGCTTCGTCGCATCGGGACCTCTGGCGTCACCGCCTGCGCCGTGACAAACCCCACGGTGACGTGGAGAGCAGGTGGCAGCACACTGGCCGGGAACCTGGACAGCAGTGCGTGTGGTCCGTGGCCAAGAGCAGGGGAAGATGGCAGCTGCAGCCCTCCCGGCACATCCTCGAGCGAGCGAGTGCCCCCAGGGTGAGCGTGTGCGCTGGGTTCCTCTCGGGAGCCGTCTGTCCCCCGCTGCTGGCGGCCGGCACTGCTGTCTGGTCCTGCCTTCCCCATTTTCGTGGGGCAGGGACTCTATGCCTTACGTGTCCCCCTGAGAAAGGAAGCCCAGGGCCGCCCCACACCGCACCTCTCCCTTTTCTGGAATTGGGGGGCGGCCCTGCCAGTGCGTCCCTCCCTTACAAGAGACTCTAGACCATCTCTGGAGAGAGAAGGCTCTTTTGGGGCGGGGGGGGGGCGAGAAACGGTGTGCTGACACATCTGCCTTTCCAGCTGCTGTTGATTCTGAGGTGGCTTTGCCATTCCTTCCCCTGCAGCTGCAGCGACCCGCGGGTCTGTCGAGGTGGTGGTCTTGGGGTAGAATCCTTTTATTTTACTACTTAATAGAGACATTCATTTTGACCAGGTCTGTGGCTTCCATTAGCAATATATTTCTTTTTCCTGATATGCAATACTGGCTTTATTTGCTCAATTTTGTGAGTGCTTTTGAATTTAGATGATTGTATGATTCAAGAAGATCACTTTTTTAATCTTGCTCAAGCTGTGCCTGCGAACTTGTAATTTAATAAATACAGGAAACCCTCAGTTAAGGTGACATTTTCCAGAAAAAAGACACATGACCCAGTAGCAGAAGGTATAGAGGTCAATCCAAAAATGACTCCGCGGATGTACGTCTCCGCTTCCTCTTCTCCAGAACGCTACACGCGGAGACGGACTGACGTCTGATGTGGACGTCCGACCTCCACGGTGGTTCTCCGTGGCCTGAGGCCCACCGATGGCCTGGTCTGGCACTCCCTTGCCGCTTGCTCTGGGGCCTGGGGGGATCAGAAAAAAGTGTTCCATTTTCTGGGCGGGGGTGGGGAGATATGTTAATTTTTTCACGTAGGTAGTTCTTTTTGATTTTTCTTCCTCTTCTTACATTTCTCTTTGAAAAAGGTGGGGAGAATAATGATGCCCATGGCGCGAACTGGGGCTGCCTCTGGTCCCAGCAGGAGGTGAGCAGGGCACTGGCTGCATAGGCCAGTCTGGGAGCCTTTTGCTCTTTTCTCAGAGGATGGATTTCTCTGTTAACCACACCTTGTTCAAAGATGAGGGTCGTGTCCCCCCTCCCACCCACCCCCCCAGCAACCCCTAGTGCCCTGTGGCTTTGTCATCTGCCACTTCGGGAGGGAAGGCAGGTGCCTTTGTGGGCAGGGCATTTTTTTTTTTTTTTCCTCTTCTGGTGTTGACCCTCATTCCTGTATGGCCCTATTTTTCTGTAATGTTCTGCAGTTGAAAGGGAAGTTGTCTGCAGCACAGAGTTCATCTCTTTTCTTGCTCCCTCCTCTTCAAACCAGGCTCTTCCCTTTTCCACTCTGTAATTATGAAACTTTTCCTGAGGAAAACATGCCCACCGTGTCTTGGGCGGTGCTGAGCCCTGGCCTGTCGGCAGCATTTGTCACTGTTCCATAGGGGCGAGCCCTTCCCTCCCACACCTGGCCATCAGCCAAACTGGGAAGGGAAAGGATGGGCCCAGAAAATCAGTCCAAACTCTAGGGGACGTGTAAATATATAAAAATATATAAATAACAAAAGCTTTTATAACAGCAGTCACTTGGTTGACTTAGAACGTGGGTTTAATTTAACTTTGTATTGGGGGGGTTGCCTCTGCCGGTGGTCCCGTGTGGCCTCATTCACCTGCCTTTTCCTGGTGGGCCTAGTCCACCATGTCCCTGTGCGCTGTGCCTCCGCTCCAGGGGCTGAGGCGCCCCCGATGTTGCCAAGATCCTGGTGCAATAAAACAGGTTTTTGTGAGCCCTGCCTGTGTCTTTGTGTTTTTCCCTTTGATTTTTAGGAGTTAGCATCCCAGCGCCCAGTTCAGATGAAGGGTTCCCTGTGGTGCACTTCCGGGTAACCCGTCAGTATGTGGGAAAGTTTGGAGCAGGTCTTCCTTAAGGATAAAGAGGAATAAAGAGATTTATTTAAATGTATTAATAAATACGTTCATTTGAATTTAAGAAGACAGAGGAACCCTTTGAAGTGGCCCACTGAGCTTGGTGGGTGATGCGCAGTGAGTACTGTGTTGAGGAAACTTGGAAACCATGTTCCACTGAGGTTTGCTGTTTGAGTTTTTTTACTGAATAACATTGGGATTTCTACAGGGAAAGTGGGAGGGAAATGATAGGTGTTACTAAACTATGAGTTTTCCTCATAGTGGGCAAGAACAACAGGCCTCCGGTTTGAGACCCTCCCAGCTTGGAGGTGCACTGCCAGGAGCGGGTGTGGCCGCACACTGGAGAGCGTGGTGAGCACGACTACAACTTGGGGCCCACACAGGAACTTAATTCGGGCTCCTGGGGAATGTTCCGGTCTTGTCAGGCCGGGCCATCTGCTGAGCGAGAGGGTCAGGGTATGGCTGATAACATGTCCTCCAAGTTGGGTGAGGCCAGCAGGGGCAGCAGGTCCCTGCAGGGATGCCCGTGACAGGGAGGTTCCGTTTGGCCTGAGCCCCACCCTTAAGTGGGAGATGGAAGCGAAAGCAGCCCTGGGCAGTGGCAGGTTTCCAGTGGGTGGGTTCTGTTCCAAATACGCCACAGACACCACTAGGCAGGCCCGCCCCCTGAGTCCCTCTGCTCCTTCCCTCTCCCCTTCAGTGTCTCTGAGCTCCCACCCAGTCGTGCTCCTCAAACCTGGGGACTCTGCCCCGTCACCGTGGGCACTTGGCCATAGCAAAGTAGGAACAGGTGAGGAGAGGCCACACCTGGACCCAAACAAATAGGGTGCCCGGTGGGGTGGGAGAGTTTGGGGTGGCAAGCCCAGCTCGTGTCCACAGTGTCTGAATCAGGCTGGGCAGCGGTAGGTTGGGGACCCCCCTTCAGCCCCGAGGCACAGTGGTCATGCAGGCGGGACCACGGCCTTCTGGTGGTTCCTTTTCCAAACTTTTCCACTCAGTCGTGGTGCTGGGTACACATAAAGAAGAACAAGGCTACGTTTCTCAGGCAGCCTGTGGTCTCCAGGCCGGGACTGGTTGCTCTGGGTGGGAACCACGATGAGGGTGTGGTGAGCCCTGCCTCCAGTGGCACCAGCCAGGCAGGGCTCACTTGCAAAGGCAAAGCACAGGGTATGTTTTGGTTGATAATTTCAGCGTGAACCGCAATTTGCCGGCCTCCGTACGTTAAGAGTTCCTGCGAGCTCCTGCATTATTTCTAGCAATAGTTGACAAGGTCTGATTTAGGCTTCAGGCTCTGGAGGCTGATGGCAGTGCGTGAAGGCCCAGGAGGCCGAGGAGGAGGGAGAAGACTGGTGAGGATGTGACCAGTCCACAAACCAGCCAACCATTGGTCCGGCCCGGAGCTGACGTCGGCAGAGCAGTTGGGAGGTGGGGTCACCTGGGTATTTGGAGACGGAATCAAGAGGAGAGGTAACAAGTGGAAGGTCCAGGGTGGGGTAAGACAGCTCCTGGCTTGGGTGGGCAGGTGAGTGGCAGGGCCAATCAGTACCAGAGAGGCAGGTGGGTGACAGATCCCCACCCCCGACCCCCAGCCATGTGGCCAGGCCTGAGGAATGTGCATGTTACTGGAACGGGAACGGAGAGAGAATCACAGGTGTGAGATGTAGGAGAGCCATAAACTTGGAGTCTTGGGATTCAGAAAAGTCCCGGTGTTTGCCCCCCGGCCCCGGGAACCAGCTGGGATCATTGTGGCAGCCAGCGTGCTCTCCAGCCCAGAGAAAGGCCAGAGCACTAATCCCTGCCTTGAGTCTTGGTAGCTCGCACAGCCTTGGTATAGACAAGACATGGCTAGAACAAGCTCTGGGGGGCACTTGGTAGCTGCTCAGCAGTGTGGTTTTACCCCAGCCCCGCCCCCTTAACCACCCTCATGCTCGGAGGGGCCCCTGCCGCGCTCTCCTCGAAGACCCTGCGGGTCGCGCATCCTGCTCCTTCCGGACCTGTGTCTGGACCAGCTGGCTTCCCGTCTTCGTTAGCTCTGCTTGCCCTTGAGGTTGGTGCCTCTCCCGGTCGCTTCAGTGGTTATTCCAAACACGTTGGCTCTCCTCCTTCCTGTGTGCACTTACTCTTGGCAAATGGTTTCTAATCCCACTAAGGAATCCCGCCCCCACTCCAAAATAAAGCACGAGGAACCACCTTCTCTCCATCTCCATCTCCTCCTTTCTCCCCCTAAGC